CGGCTGGTCGCGCAGGCGTCACCTGGGGCCGAAGTGAACCTCCCAGAGCGCCTCCCCGCGCGGAACTTGTCCCAGCTCCCGGCCGTGTGGACGCGGCGCCACCGCTGAGGGGTTACCTCAGTGATCGGGGACTGTAGGCTAATCTGTCTGTCCCCACTGTGGCCGCCGATCTGGCTGCTGCCGAGGCCCGGCTCAGCGGGCAGGATGGCGGGCCGAACTCCCGCGCGGCGCTCCGGCGGAGGTGATCCCACGAGCCACTGCCTCGGCCAGGCTGCCGTCTGTGGCGTCGGCGCCCTTCGGTCCAGCGCGGGCCCGTGAGGTCCCGCCCCCTCCCCAGGCAGGACCAATAGGGGCAAGGGGGCGGGGCTAATCTCTCGGAACGGATGCTCGGGGATTCCCTAGACTTGCTGCTTGGGCGCCGCGCGGGGACCTCAGTTCCAGGATCCTAGCGTACTACGCCTTCGGGAGAAAGCAGCTAGCTGGCGCCGCCGCGGAGGTGGCCTTGGGCGCCCTCCTCCGGCCCGGGATTCCGACTTTCGGTGGGGCCAGCGGGCGACCCGGCGGCCCCGCCTTGTTCGCGGGCTGTTGTCTCAGGTCCCGAAAAGTGGCCTCAGTCAGGTCTGGAGGAGAGCCTCCCAGCCACCGCAACGCCTACCCCCTGCGGCTCCCTGGCGTGCGCTGCCTCGGGCTTCTCCCTCCGACTCGTCTCAGCGCCTGCCGGCGCGCCCACCCCCTGGCTCCCGCGAGCTTCGGGCGCGCTGCCCCTGACGCGGTCACTGCCAGTGCTCGCCGTGCGTCCTGCGGACTGCAGCGGTAGTCCAGCGGCCGCTGCAGACACGCACCCGCTTCCTGCCTGCGGCCGGGCGGAGGAACTCTGTGCACCTTAATTGCCACGGCGCCCAGCGGCTGTCAAGGGAAGGCTCCTCACGGAAACTCCTAGACTGACTCAGCCCCCTTCTGCAGACCCGGCTCTTCTCTGAGCGCTCTCCCACTTCCTCTACAGGTAGTTCCCCATTTACAACGTATTCGAGTTACCGCGAACCACACTTAGAGAGACGACCGTCTCTTTGTTTCTGGTACATCTTGTTATTAGTAATATGTATGTATTAAAATTTATATGTAATGTTTCCAACCCCCAAAGAAATGAAGATCGGATTTATAAAGATATTAATAATGAAAACTTAAAAAAAAAAGTGATTTAGAGTCGTCAGAACGGAACCCTGTGGTAAATCAGGGACTAGCTGTATTTATTAATGGCTGGTGGCGTAGTGCTTAAGCGCTACGGCTGCTAACCAGAAGGTTGGCAGTTCAAATCCACCAGGTGCTCCCTGGAAACCCTATAGGGTCGCTATGAGTCGGAATCCACTCGACGGCAACGGGTATGGTTTTCTTTGGTAAGGCGCTAAACTGGGAGGAAGTGATACCTAGGCTGGGCTCTGAGGGCTGGAAGGAATTCGCCTGCAACAGGGAGGAAAGGTCGGTGGGAGGGGAGTGTTCCAGGCAGAAGGAATAGTAGTTTGTGTAAAGGCCCTGAGATAATAACGGCGGCTTACAATTAGCACTTAACATGTGCCAGGCACCTGGGGAGTGCTTGACGTGTACCAATTCTTTAATGATCGCACACTCTCATAAGGTAGAAACCATTTAACCGCTCTCTTTTTAACTGATAGAAAATTCACTTCCCTAAGTTCACACAAATGGTGGAGCAGGGCTGGGGCAGGTGGTGGTGCAGGTTAGCTGTTCAGTGCGGTTGGAGCCTGGAGAGCTGAGTTAGAGGGGCAAATGGTGAGGGGGAGAGGCTGGAGAGGGCATCGAGGAACGGACCACAAAGGGATTGAAGGAAGGTTAGATGAGGGCTCGGGGCACCTAAACGATTATGGTGCCTCTCTCCCCATGTGGATTCAAGGTTAAGCCTGCAAATAAGTGTAAGAAGTCCAACAAAATTCCAATTTTCCCATGATCACTTCAAAGAATTTTTTAAATATCAAGTAGAAAATTTTAAATCTAAGCAATCATTTGCGGTACCTTACTGCTGAAAGGTCACGGGTTCGAAGCCACCAGTGGCTCCAGGGAAGAAAGATGTGGCAGTCCACTTCCACAGAGATTTACAGCCTCAGAAACCCTATGGGGTTGCTATGAATCAGAATGGACTTGATGGCAGTGGGTTTTTAGGCACAACAGGTAATTTCCATACTGCTTATAAGCCCCCTTAAGAATACGTAACTTTAAGGATAATGCTGATTAGACATTGAAAATGCCCAAGTAAGATCAGAGTTTGGATGCAGAGGGGAATATGGATTGGAGGGTGAGACTAGAATGAGGGCTTGGCAGTTGGAGGCTGTAGCAGTAACAACGGGAGGGGTTAGGAGGGCCAGTGGCCATGGCGACAGGGTGAAAGGCAGAGGGCAAGAGTCAAGGGTGTCTCTCCATGTCAGGCCTGGTCAGGGTCCCTGAATTGTCTGCCCACTCCTGCCCTTCTCTGCACCAAGGACATCCCCCTGTATCCGCCTTTGAGCCTGCGTCACATTGCTGAGGGCCCGGAGCTCGCCAGTGACTCTCAGGTTGCTTATTGTGCAATGCTGGGCTCCCAGCTAGACTGCAAGCAGCCCAGTGCTGGGGCTGAATTCTTATAATTACAAAAATCACTTATCTCGGTTTAGAATGAGTGGAAATCTATGTTTTTTAAACAACAGTCCTCACACTCCCATAAACCAAACAGTGGTTATGGCTATTCCAAATGGTCTCGGCATCACAATTCAATTCAGCAACAACTATGGGCTGCTGTGCCCTGAGTCAGAGATGAAGCAGATGAGGTCCCTGCCCTGAGTTGCTCCCCATCTAACGGGATGACAGCTGGGCAGTCATTTCAAAAGGCAGAATTAAAACTGTGCTCTGACAGAGGGGCTAGCAAAGTACCTGGAAGGGCAAAGAACCGGGAAGTGAAGGCGGCAACGGAATTCTAGAATGCCAGAACTGGAAGGGAACTGAGGTGGGGAAGGCTCTTGGAATGTCAAAACAAGGGTTTCCCCAGCCACCTGGCAACTCTGTGTCCTTGGGAATGTTACTTAACCTCTTTCTGCTCAGTTTCTCATCTATAAAATGAGGCTCACAATAGTAGGACTGAGATGAGTATTAAATGAGAATATATAGAGAGCACTTAGCACACAATGAATGTTGGCAATGGCCATTATTACATCAAAACCCTTGTTGTTGTTCGCCATTGATTCGATTCCGTTTCAGTCACCCTGTAGGACAAAGTAAAACTGCCCTGTAGGGTTTCCTAGGCTGTAATCTTTACAGGAGCAGATTGCCAGGTCTTTTCTTCCAGAGGGGTTGGTGCTTTTGGTTAGCAGCTGTGCATTAACCATTGCACCACCAGGGCTCCTTTTCAAAGCCCTAGGAACTCAGATTCATCCTATACACTAGCTGAGGTTTTGCAATTGAGCATTTGAAATCACAGAACTGTAATTGTATCTTAACCCGTTTTCTGGCTAGACCCTAAGCTCCTTGTGGGCATTCCTGCATTTCCCATACCGTTTTGCACACAGGTGTCTGTTGAATGTATATGAACTTTCTGCAGGTCCCTCCACTAGCTGACCTTTGTCACAAAGGTTGAGGGACAACCTGAATTACCTGGTGTTATGGACTGAATTGTGTTGCCAAAAAGTTATGTAAATATGACCCTGTTTGGAAATAGAAGTTTTCTTTTTGTTATGTTCATGAGGTCATTAGGATGGGTACTAATCCTAATCCCTTCTGAGTGTTTTATAAAAAGAGAACTGACACAGACACATGCAGGGGGAGATGCCATGTGACAAAGCAGATGCATCTATAAGCAGCAAAGGAACACCAAGGATTGCAGCAGCCATCAGAAACTAGGGGAGAGGCCCACAGGAGAACTGACATGGCTGGGACCTGATTTGGGCTTTTAGGTTCTAGAACTGGGAGAAATTAAAATTCTGTTCTTTAAAGCCACTCGTGGTATTTTTGTTATGGCAGCTATAGGAAATTAAGACACTTGGTAAGAAAAAGTGTGAGTGTAGTTTAGACTCTGAAAGGGTGGTGATTGAGCTGGTCTCGGCAGGCTTCTGCTGCCAGGAGGCCTAATGGGGAGAGCACATTTGGGTGAACACTATCCTACAAAGTTCTGGCAGCTTAAAGTTACCTAATTTTTCCTTCAAAATCCATCAGGCTGCAAATTCTTTGTAATCTGGATATTTGGCTTCAAATAGCTTTGGCAAACATGCATTGATCTTAACAAATACCCACAGGATTATGATCTAATGATCGGAACACAGGCGGCCTGGACTGGAATCCACGTTACCTCTCAAGCTCTCTGGCACATTTTCCTCATCTGCAAAATAAGTGTAATTCCTACCTCATATAGTTGTTGTTAGAATTAGTTTATATTTGCCTGCTGTAACTGTTACGAGGAGTCCCTAGGTGGTGGAAATGGTTAACATGCTTGGCTGCTAACCAAAATTTGGAAGTTCGAATCCACCTAGAGGTGCCTTGGAAGAAAGGCCTGGCAATGTACTTCTGAAAAACCAGCTCTTAAAAACACTAACCACAATCCTGTTCTGACACATAAGGGGTCGCCATGAGTTGGAATTGCCATGAGGGCAACTGGACTGGAATTGTTATAAAGTCAACCAAGTTATGGGCTGGAGAAAACAGAAGGGCCAGACTTGAAAAGGGAGTCAAGAATTGGATTCAAGGTCCACTTCTGCCACTTATTCTGTGACAGCAGGCAAAGCACTTCCCCATCCCCGTTTCTCC